ATCATACTTTTGAATGCTGCTTTAGACAATTACCACCAGATACTTCTAAGTAGAAAGACAGACTGATCAAAAAAAAGATCTGTCTTTACAAATTCTGGAGACTTTCAGACAGGCAATTCACAAAGAGATTATTTGACATGTCTATACTGAAAGGTACCATTAATTTAAATCCTATATCCCAGGATATACCCATTTAGATGTTTAGTTTTTATGGCTCAGAGAGGGTTAATGCTCTAGCCTTCTACTTCAGTGCCAATGATTGAACCAGGTTGTGTGAAATCTTTTGGCATTTATATGTCTAAACTAGACTAGAGCAGGTTTGGAGTGATCCACTGCAATGCAGAATGACCTAGAGAATCTTCTCCAAATAAGATGGGTCTTTATCAAACTGAATGGCTTCCTGGCAGTGTAGCCAAGTTTTGAGAGACATATCAATAAGCTACTGGCACTTCCTAAACCTCCCAACCCTCAAATTCTTATCCCAGGCTCTACTTATGAGGCAACCCAAACTAAGACATAGTCGTTGTTAGGAATAAAGAAGTGCTTACATGAATTAAATACTGTATATGGCATTGTGTGAATGACAATTTCATAGAGCAAATAAGTTGAGTTTTGCCTACAGAGGGGGAAAAGGATTATGAGAGTGGTTAAAGAAAAGGAAGGGCCTTGTTGGCTTCATAGGCAATAATTTACCCCAGAAAACCTAGCTTGAGAACAATGTTACTCAGCAGAAGGTGACTTCCAAAACTGTGTACTAGATTTTCAACATTTGGAAGCTGGGATTAGATGAAAGCTAGCTCATCACACTGAAACCATCACCTCAGAAATGGAAAGCTTGTTGATATGTCTCTCAAAACTTGGCAACACTGCCTCACAGAATTCTTTCCCATCCCGTATGTTCTCCATACATGCTTAATTTTTAGGCTAACCTTGGCCTAAGGAGGAGCCTTACATTCTAAAAATCATGACCAAGCTTCCATTTAATATCTCACTCTTGTGTGAATTGCAGGCTTAAATGAGAATAGGGCATCTCTTCTCTTAGAAATAAATTGTCCAGGATAATAGCAAATTATTTGAACTTAAAGCAATTGCTGTTAAATTTTAATTGACTTTAAATCGTGGTACTTAAAATTTATTCCCACACTAGTGATAAATTTTTATTGGCATTATCACCTTTGGCCACAAAATCACTATTCGAAAATCATCCAGCAAGAGTTAAGAGTATATAGCATGTGACATAGAACATAACTGGATTTTTTCTCTTTGTTTTTGTTTGAAGGTAACTGACCTGTGCAGGGATAAAACCCACTGATTTGAACTCTTTTCTCTGAATATCCATGTATATACAACACACTCTGCTGATATGGTGATTAACAAATTACTAGGGTATGGGCTTAAAAGATCAAAATAATTTGGAGTGAAAAATTTCTATCATATCGAAGCCATCATCATTGTTTTTAGAGAGTTTCAGAATTGCTAAGATGCTTCACAATGAAAACATTATGTCTTTATGTAAATTACAGACTAGGAAAAGTGGGCACGTTGGACATAGTTTTATGAGTTTTTGCAAAAAATCCCCTTTGTGGTAGTAGGCATTCCATTCCTTGGCCCTATTATTCTTTGAATTTCAGATCAATAAATAGGAGCCAAATATCAGCTCATATAAGGAATATCGTGAGAAATATTGGCCACCACAAATAGGTTTGGCTTTTGTTGAAATGAATGAAAAATTAGGGCAATCATCTGTAAATTTACTCTAATGAGTCATCGGCTACTGTAGGCTTTGGGGCATGCGTTTCGGTAGACTCGCCAGATTTCCCACATCCTTGCTGTTAGTATCCTGTTTCAGGGCTGCTAATAGACAAAGAAGCACAGACAAAGGACTGCCTGTGAAAGTGGTCACACCCCTGGATCCGGACAGCACTATAAACCCCCACCTGTGGTGCCTCAGAAATGAAGCTCTCTTTCTCATTTCAGCCTCTCTCATTTCCTTTTTGCTCCTGCCTTTTCTTTCTCTTAGTCTCAGCACATACACTATACTTTCGTTCATATTGCTAGAACTGTTCTACCCTGGGTCTCTCTCAGTCTCATATTTCTCCCTTTT